TTCAATAAATTATAAAAAAAATCTATATAATAGACGCAAGCTTAGTTTAAGCCAAACCGCGTCTTCATCGTCGTTGCCACCTAGCGGCGAAAGTGCAAATGACTCATTCGGTACGAAGTAAATAACTTCGACGGATGAGTGCGTAAATAGATCTTTACAATCAATAATCAATAACGATCGTAGTAATGACAGGGATAATGATGATAATAATAATGATATAAATAATGTGTATCTTTCTAACGACGACGACGATAGCGACGAAGACTACCACCCCCCTGACGATGACAATAACAGTGTATATGGTGACGATGACCATCAGGATTTCGACGTAGAGACGACCGCCACTTGCACACGCACAGATAAGTCCATCCTTAATTACTTTAAGCTAATTAAGGAAGGACCGACTATGGGGTGCACGTGTTGCGGAGTTTTGGTTTTTCCGCGACACGCAAAATTTTTCTGTAAAAATCTTTTGGCTCAATGTTTCGAAAAACGAAACGAGCCAAAAGAAAACTCGGACGACTTGTACGCACATGGTGCCGAATAGCTCGGCGCTGTGTTCCACGTGCTACAAGTCCATTTTAGGCCTGAAATTGCCGGTCGTTTATATTTCGAACAATTACAAATTAGACGATCCTCCATGCGAAGCGATCAAAACGCTTAACGTATTGGAGGAGCGCCCAATTTGTCCCCGAATTCCGTTTATGCAAATACGGAATTTGGGGTGCGATTGGTCGAAATACTTGAAGGCTCACGTTTTAAATGTGCCGACCGACGTGGGTAAGATGTGTTCGGTTCTCCCGCGAACGTTCGACGAAGCCGAGGTCGTTCAGATAAATTTGAAGAGGAGCGATCGGCAGGCCGGTTCCTACATATCGGAAACGGTCTGTCCCGCTAAAATTAAAGCGGCTCTTCAGTATTTATCTGAGCAGCCTCTTTATAAGTCGAACAATATCGTGGTGGACTGGGCCAAATTACCCGCGACCATCGGTGGTACAGTTGAAACTGATGATCAACTTGTACCCTTTATTGTGCCATCACCATCGTCAATGGCGAACGCGACCGCTGCTGTTGCCGTTTCCGAAATCGTTGACGTCGTACCCCACACACACAACACTAATCACGACGGTAACGTTAATGCAAATGATCGTCAAAACAATGACGGTTGCGAAATTGACGACGAAGCTGTGGTTATCGCTAACGATGAAAATGACGACGACACCACCGAGGATGTTCAGACGATGTTACAGAGAAATGATGGTCCAATTTGTTTTGCCCCGGTTCAAAACCAAAAGCCTTTATCTTTTATAAGGGATCACCACCAGGGCCGGACTGGCATATCGGGCGATCGCCCGAAAGGCCGGAGGTGTATTTGGGCCGGTCCAGCTCTGTTGAATGATCAGCCTGCAAATTGTGTGTAAGCGCTCCGTCTCAATTCTCAATCGCGAACATTCGAAAATACGAAACAGGAGAGTAGAGAAGTCGGCATCAATTTTTTTTCTATGTAGGGACGGACATATAACATTTAGCCGCCGATGAGTCTTGTCTAGTCGTCTTGGAATTAAAAATTTATCAAAAGAGTGTGTAGTGTGTGATATTTGCAGCCCTATAACGTTTAGTTAAAAGTATGTGGCAAGTATATTACATTTTTTGTTCTTTCTTTATGTGATGTACTTAGTGGTCGAAATTTAAAATATCCTGTTGCCAAATGGAGAGTAAAGAAAGTATCTATCTATAAACTATTAACTAAGTTGAATTTATTAGCTAACCTATAAAAATTGCATAATGGACCTGTTCGCTTTCACGTTTGAACTTGTATTAATTATAGATTTATAAACACTTTTATCCAAGGCCGTAGCCAGAAAAATGTTTTGGGGAAGATTTGTGAGAAATGAAGTGTGATTTTCAACATACGAGTCACTGAAAGAATTTAATGGGAATTTCCCTGGCTCTATAACATTTTAATTCCAGCCACCCCCCCCCCCGAACCCCGAAACATATTGATATTTATTAAGAAAAACAACTTTTATCATATCATAATTTCAAGTAAAAATAATTTTATAACCGCCTATACACTACTCAACGATAATATTGATCATGGCAATTTCTTAGAAATAATTTTATTGATAGCTAAATTCGACCCAATACTTCATAATCATATTCAAAAAGTTGCAGAACAAAGTAAAAAAAATCGGTTACGTAACTTGAATCGCCGAAGTCTTCATCCAATTCAACCAAGTACTCCTACTAATGGAAATTTCCAAGAATCAGAAGAATGCGGACAACGTCGAGGAAGAGGCGCTTTCATATCACTATTATCCAAGACGACTGTAAACGAAATATTGTCAGGCATATCAAACTTAATTAAGAAAAAAATTTCAGATGACGTCAAGAGGGCTGAAATATTTTCTATCCAAATCGATACTACCCAAGATATTAACGTAGTTGATCAATGTTCTGTTATCATTAGATTTGTAACGGATAGGGTAGTGCATGAAAGGTTAATTCGACTGATAAATTGTAATTCCAGTAAAGGAAAAGACATGTATGAAATGATAGCACAATGTTTGAAGGACTTAGATTTAGATATTAGAAGATGCGTAGGAAACTCCACTGATGGAGCCAGTAATATGCAAGGCCAATATAAAGGTTTCACTACATGGTTGTCGAAAGATTCCCCTGGACAGATCCACGTGTGGTGCTATGCTCACGTCTTGAATTTAGTAGTGGCCGATGTAACTAATCAAACCATACCTGCTGTTTCTTTATTTGGATTGATAAATAAAACTGCAGTTTTTGTTAGAGAATCTTACCTTCGCATGAATGTATGGAAAAATGCATTGGATACCGATTCGAATTCTCGTTTTATTAATATTATAGGCGAAACGAGGTGGTGGGCAAAGGAAAAAGCACTTACGAAAATATTCGATACGAAAAACGGTTTTTTCGTTATATTATGTGAAACTCTTCACACCATGACTCTTTCTAATAATTTCAACGCTGAAGTAAAATTCAAGGCGAAGTGTTTTCTGGATGGTTTTCTTAAATATGAAACCATTATCATGTCCGTGATATTTAAAAAAATATTTTTTCATATATCTCCTCTTTCGAAATATTTACAAACCTCTGGAATGGACCTTCTGCAGTCCTACCGTATGGTCGAGGAGACATTGCAAGCTTTGAAAAATATGTCTAGAGACTTTGAAAGTATTATACAGGAAACAGACAAGTTCATAAATATGGTTAATATCAGTTTTTTAGATAAAAATTTTCCTGGTGAAATTCAAACCGAATTCCCACTTCAAAGAACGATTAGAAAAACTAAGTTCCATGATGAGACATGTGGTGACAATAATTCAAGTAGTCCAATAGATGATTTTAAAATCAAAGTATTTTTCGTGACAATGGATCAGGTTATAAATTCTATTGAATCCCGCTTCGTCAAACACAAACAATTATACACAGACTTTGAATGTTTTCATCCTAGTAGTTTTGAATCACTGTCAAAGTTGCCCGAACATGCTTTGAAAAATGTCACAGCTAAACTACAAATATTCTTTCCATCCATAGATCATGATAATTTAAAAACACAATTAATTGATCTAGCTTCAAAATGGCATCGATTGTCCAAATCGCTACCTGATGAGTTTACTGGAGCTGAAATACATCAAACGAATGATATTGAAGGCGATGGATTAAAAAATAAATGTAACACGTGTCGAAACTGCATTTTGTGCTGCTATAGACTATTGCTAAAATATAATTTATATGCAGAAGTATATCCTGATTTGGAAATAGCTTATAAGTATATTTTAACTTTATCAATTACACAAGTGAGCTGTGAGCGGTCATTTTCAAAACTTAATTATATACTAAATAAAGTACGGAACAGTCTTACTCAGGAAAATGTGGAGACTTTCATGTTGATGGCCATTGAAAAGGATGTACTTTATTCATTAAATAATAATGAAATAATCGATCATTTAACAAAAAAGAGTGCGGCAATGACAAAGTTCCTCACCATATAAATATAATTGACGATGCTGTTGTTTTTCTTGTTTTATTTGTTAAAAGAATTTATTTTGTTTTTTTTTTTAATTTTTTTTTATTTGTTAAAAGAATTGATTTTATTTTTTTATTTATTTTTATTTTTGAGAAGAAATTATATATATATTTTTTATTTTCAATACTTAAAGTTATTTTTTCTTAGGTTGTTTTTTGCCTGAGCCCTATTAACCCTGAATCTGAATATTAATTCAAACATCCGAAGAGATAAAAACCTCAATAATTCTTATTCTCACAAGAAACCAAATATTATTTCAAAATCATGTGTCCCATATTTTGCATTTTTACCTATTATTCTGAAAGCCACATAGAAATGGGCCGTTTTGGTAAATAATCGCCCGGGCCGGTTTTTGATGCCAGTCCGGCCCTGATCACCACGTGGAAGAATTAACCTTTCCCAGTATTTATCACGGGAAGGCCAGAAATCACGTCGATCCGACCGTCGTCGCGGATTAAATTAGCTCCGCCGCTGATACAGTCAACGATGGCGGCCGTCGTCGGCGTAAAGTTTCCTATGGCCAGGTAATTCGCCACGAGGTCATGTTTTATAAAAGATATTGCGCTACACGGGCGGACAAATTGTTCTTTTCTTTTTTTCTGAAACAAACTTTGGACATTTTCAGTGGAATTGCGTTGCATGTTCGTCAAACGACGACTACTGCTTCCTCCGTTAACGCCAACAACCTTAGTACCGCGATTAATAAAACTTCTAATGCCGCCGCCGCTCCTCTTAATTCTCTTTTCCAAATTAATCTAACCAATGTCACTAACGTAAATAATCAAAAACAAAAAAAGCGATACTTTAACGGCCGGTGACTTGCTTATAATTCAAAATCGGTAGCGCAATTAATTGGTGCCGATAAAGCATTTTCATTTACGAAAAATATGACTACGTCCCCCGCTTAATGGGCTGACGAAAGAAAAAACTCTTCGCCATGATCAGGCAATTGGATATTTCCACGTTTTATATAACGTTAACAGCGGCAGACGCTCGCTGGCCCGAATTAATTTCCGTTCTTGGTAAGGTATTATATCAAAAATTGTATTCCGACATCGAAGTTAGCGAAATGTCATCGGCGGCGAGGACGCCTCTCATCCAAAGCGATCCGGTAACCGTTGTTCGCTATTTCGATAATCGCATTCGTCTATTGATGGCTGAAATGCGAAAATGTGACTTCTTCAAGTCATCCGTCGATTCAATTCCCTCCTCCCATTCCGATAATGAAGATTCTTCTTCTCAAAATAACACCTCCGATCCCGTTGACGCACCTTTTGCTAATAAATTTACAAATCGTCCAGTAAACGTCGTTTATCCCTTAGTAGATTATTATTATCGTGTCGAATTTCAGCATCGGGGAGCACCGTATATCCACGGTGTTTTGTGGCTCGAAGGAGCACCGGTGTCTGATGGCACGAATGGCATAGACTGCTCGAGGTTCATCGATAATTTCGTGAGCGCTTCGGCGTCGGGTGAAGGTATCAGATATGCCACCAATGTGGAAATGTTGACGGCATATCAGACATAAACATTCTTCTACCGGTACCGTCGGTGACAGCGATGTTACTAACCGTAGTGGCGGTAGTTGTCGTTTCAAAATTCCCTTTTTCCAGATGCGTACTACAATGATTTTGAGTAGCATCGAAGATTCGCGCCTATCTAAATTCCGTCTTCGATAGTGGCTCATATCAACAAGAGCTACGAGATCCGTTATCGATGAATTTCGACCAGATGTTGCAGGAATTGGGGCTGACCAAATCCGCCTACGTTCTGGCCATTTGATCAGGTTTAAAAAGCGAATGTCCCAAAGTTTTCCTTCGACGTCGTTTGGCCGATATCGCAACAAATAACTACTTTCCCAAGGTCTTGGACATGCACCAAGCCAACATGGATATGCAATATATAGTCGACGCTTATAGTTGCGTCAGCTATATCGTTAACTATACTAACAAATCCAGCTTGGGTATGTCTAAGTTGATGTCCGAGGCGGAGACGCACATCAAAGCCGGAGATATCGATACCAAGGCAACGTTGCGCAAGTTAGGGAATTTGTTTTTAAAATCGTCCGAAGTTTCGATGCAGGAGACCGTCTACTATATATCCGGTCTTCGGCTTACCGATTCATCGCGTAGCGACGTTTTCGTCAACACGTTTCCCTCTGACAAACGTGTGCGCGTCGCCAAAGGGAAAGCGTCGTTGAAGAAAATGGACGCTGCGTGTACGGATGTTTTCGAAAGAAACAACCTGGATAGGTACGTTGAACGCCCGGATTCGTTAGAGACCTTATGCTTGGCACGTTTCGCCACCGAATGCACGTTTTCTTCGAACAATGCCAGGGGAGAGTTACCTTTGCGTGACGAGAGTGGGTGTACGTAAAGAGGATGGCCGCGAGCGGCCGTCGCAAAATTTTACGCTACAGAAATTACGGAGAGCTTAGCGATCCGATTAATTTCTGTGGCGAAAATTTAATGCTTTTCGTACCTTACAGAGACGAGCAACAAGATTTGATACGTTTCGTCGAAAACGGCGAAATCAAGTCGCGTTATTCGTCTCTTCTCGCCGACATTCTTCGCGAAAAGCGTGATTTCGTTAAAATTTTACAAGATATGGACGAGTTGGCCGATTAGATTGTCGACGATAATTTGCATCGACCATTCCATCGATCTCATAACACAACTGGTGACGTTATTATCGACGACGATCACAACGTCGCACAGAGGCGAATTTTCCCAAAAACGTGGTCAAAACCCTTAATAATCGATTGGGAAAAACTGGGAAAAACACATTAATAATCGATTCTCTAACTTGCTACGCACACAAAAATTTCCTCGGGCGCCATTTTTTTTGGCCAAATTTCGTATTAAGGGTTTCCATGCGACTTTAAAAAATCATATCATAGGAACGGGTAGAGCGATTTTAATGAGATTTGGCCCGAACGTGTAAACCCACGGGACGCTTCTAAAAAAAATTCCGCGTGAAAATCCGTTTGGCGGTTTCCAGGGTAACGGTGAAAATGCACCGAAAATCGTGTTTTTTGAGCTACGGATCCCTTTTGGGAGAACTGGGTGCATTGGGAAGGGCGATTATGTTAGTGGTAGATGCTCTAGATATCAAAGGTGGCCCGAATTGGTATTAAATTTTTCTCCTGTCAACTGTCACTTTTTTATGACGTTTCTAACATTTCTTTTTGTTTTTTCGATGGTTTATTACAAACGAATAATTTTTTTAATATTTTTCCTAAACACCCTTTGCCCCTCTCTAACTTGCTAAGCACACAAAAATTTCCTCGGCCGCCATTTTTTTTCGGTCAAATTTTGTATTAAGGGTTTCCAGGCGACTTTAAAAAATCATATCTTGGGAACAGGAAGAGCGATTTTGTTGAAATTTAGCTCTAAGATGTAAACCCACGGGATGCTTCTAAAAAAAATTCCGCGAGAAAATATGTTTGGCAGTTTCCATGGTAACGGCGAAAAACTACCTAAAATCGTGTTTTTCGAGCTACGACTCCCTTTTGTGGGAACTGGGTGCACTTAGAAAGGGCGATTATGTTAGTGGTAGTTGCCCTAGATATCCAAGGTGGTCGGAATTAGTATTAGATATTTTACCTGTCAGCTGTCACTTTTTTATGACGTTTTGAAAATTTCTTTTTGCTTTTCCGATGGTCTATTATAAACGAATAATTTTTTTAATATTTTTCATAAACATCTTTTATTTTTTTCTACTTCATCACGCATATAAAAATTTCTTCGGACGCCATTTTTTTTCGGCCAAATTTCGTATGAGGGGTTTCCGAGCGACTTTAAAAATTCGTAACGTCCGAACGATTAAAGCGATTTTGATGAAACTTGGCTCGAAGATGTATACCCACGAGACGTTTCTAAAAAAAATCGGCGTCAAAATTTATTTAGTGGTTTAGATGGTAACCGTTAAAAACCACCAAAAATTTTTGAAAAATCGTGTTTTTCGACTTATGGTTTCCTCCTTCGCCAAGTATGTGCACTTTGGATGAGAGATTGTGTTAGTGATAGATGCCTTAAATATTCATGGTGACCAAAATCGGTATTAAATTTGTCATTTGTCAATTGTCACTCTTTTATGACGTTTTTAAAATTTATTTATCATCTTTCAACGAAGATGATAAGTAGTAATTTATATATTATTATTATTATTATTATTGTTGTTGTTAAATTATGTGTGTTTAAAATAATTATGTTATTATTAAAATCAATTATTCTTTTTTCTTCTTTGCTATTGGATTGATAAGTTATAAAATAAAAGACCATTAGACTATTACTGTCAAAAACTAGGAAGAATAGGAAAAAGAAGAAGATTAATTCAATTCTAAAATTATTCAGTCAAACACAAAAATAACCTAGAATTTTCGAGAAGTTTCAACTGTATTTCTATTTTAATTCAAATATAATTTACCCAAATCTGACTTACGTAAATTCAGTTCGTAACTATGGGCCTAAATTATGTAAAATTCCAAAAATTTAGAAATAAAAAAGTAAAAAATTATTTGGTTTAATCTAACATAACCTTAAAATTTAAATTTGTGTATAAAATAATATTAATTTAAAAGTTTTTATCAAAAAATGTAAATAGATTATTATATTTCAGGAACAATAGGGTGTCACTACCTCAAAAACATTGAAGATGTGAACAAAGAAGAAGTCATTGAAAGAAAGTAAGTTTAATGTTTTTATTTTAATTGTTTCCTTTAATGTTTACAAATATTAAATATATATTTTATTGCAGTTTCAGATTCAGCAGTCTTTTTGAAAATTGGAAGGCCAGGATAGTTATGAAGTTATATTACGGAGTCAGTTTATTATGGTAGAATGAAAATGATTTTTTTATATTTATTTGAACAACCTTTATATAAATCGAACAACATTATCGTGAATTGGACCAAATTATTCTTGAGGGCAAGGATACATACAAATTTATTAAAAGATGATTTGTTACCATAATTTCTAATTTTATTGTAAAAAGCTTATATCACATAATATGATGTTATGGAAAAGAAAATGGTCATTTAAGGGAGAAGTGATTAGTTTTTTATTTATATGTAAGTAGATTTTTTAAAATTATTTTCAAATTAAAGTTTTACATACTTAACTATTGGCTTTACTTGAGTAGATGTTGTTAATAGTTACAAGATATCATTATTGATTCTTTTTGATCACTATACAAATGATGTAAGATATGTCAAGATTCATGTAGTGGACAAATCTTAATTTAAAATCTACATTTAAATATAAGTACATACATACAATATTTTATACATACACATATACACACACATACATATAAATAATATACAGGGTTGGGCATAATTGACGGAACACCCGATTTGTGGCTCAATTATGGATTGTATTGAAAATTAACCCAAATAAAGTTTTTTGTATATTTTATGTACTATTTAATGACGCTTGGGGATTTTCATTATCTATCATATTTATCAAGATATGACGTCATCGGATGAAATTTTAAATGAATCACCCTATATTTATATTTTTTTTCAGATAGATCTTTTCTTTCTGAATCCATCAATATGGGGTTCGGGTGGTCTCTGATTTTCCTTATCATCAGAAAATAATAAAACAAAATGGTAAACGTTCTTTTAAATAATTAATGAATAACTATTCACAAAGTTGTCTGTGCCATCATAATGTACCAATATCAATTGTTTTGCCATGGTTTCACTTTTTGACATTAAAATGTAATATTGACATCTCGATATTAATCACTGAGTTTTATTAATACGATTATTGTACATCTCTGACAGAAATACCTACCAATGTTTTTGTGTTACTGTTTACTTGGTTTTTATAATATTATAAAAACTATTGTCACCTTTTATTAATCTGTAGATTTTAATTCATTCTGGTTTATGGAGACAATCAAACAAGTTGAGTTTAATTGCAAGTCAATTCATTTCACCCAAACTAGCCCAATACGCGAAAATAAATAACTCTTAGCATTTGATACTATTGAGAATTTTTATTAATTTAAACCATGGTTGAACTGAGTGAACGTGAAAGAATTACACTATTGATGATTATTGGGTTTGGAGACAGAAAGAGATCTCTGCAAGAAGCTTGTAATTTGTTCAATGAAACATTTCCTGACAGGATTTCCCCGATTTCTAAATCTACAGTATCCAGAAATTTGAGCAAGTTTAATGAAACAGGAAGTGTGAAAAATAATCCCAGATCTGGACGGAAGAAGACAGCCACTGATGAAGAAAATGCACTTAATGTGGTTCTAAGTGTACAGGAAGAACCAAAAACTTCAGTTCCAAAGCTTGCGTTAGACAATAATATGAGCGAGAGATCTGTAAGGAGGATTCTGAAAGTCAATAAATTTCATCCCTATAAAGTGCAATTACACCAGGAATTGAATGAAGATGACCCAGATAGGCGAATGCAATTCTGCCAGGTAATGATGGATGCCATTAATGGAAATAATATGTTGATGAACAGCATTGTTTTTTCCGACGAATCAACATTTTGTCTCAATGGA